AGCGGCTGTGTTCCAGTAAAACTTTATGGACGCTGAAATTTGAATTTCATACAATTTCCACGTGTCATGAAATAGTGCTCTTTTAGTTTTTCTCAAACACTTAAAAAAGTAAAAATTCTCCTTAGCTCATGAGCTGGGCAAGGATGGGAGGCAGCTTGCTTTGGCTCCAGGCCATAGCTTGCCAGCATCTGGTCCACCTAAGCGACACCTAATGATCTCACTGGGAACCACTGCAACACCCGGTAGCATTTATTCAACCAGACAAGGCAACAAAATTGTGTTTTTATGTAGTCCTTTAACTCAAAGGTTAATTGTCATGTGCTTTAACCCCCCCCCAAAAAAAAATCCTTTTATATGTGTATATGCTTGTTATACAAACTAACAGTTTTTGCAGACGAATGACAGAGTAAAAAGCTATTTCCTTCAGCTGTTATTTACTCTGGATTCATTTTAAATTCTGTCTTCACAAATCACTATTTGGAGGACCCTTACCCAAGGCACATAAGGACTAACAGAACATATTAATATAGCCCTTTTTAAGTTGTTTTATATATACACAAGAGGTCTTCAAAAAGTTCATGGCAAGATTTGTATTATCTTTTAACTCTATTTTTCCATGAACCTCTTGAAGTACGCTTGTAAATATTTATATATATGTGTGTGAATGTATTGTCTTCAGAAATGGGCATTTTATATCTTTCCTGTGGCTAGTAAAGCACATGTTAATGAAATGGCATTTTTAAAAGCAGTACCTTATACCACTGAATCTTCACATCAGTTTGGTTGTGGGTGAATTCTCTCAGGTCAGGACACACTAATACCCCGGAGGTTGACAAGGTTAGGATTTGCGGGTATGAGANACATGGGTGAACCTTGAGGACGTTATGCTGAGTGAAATAAGCCAGTCACAAAAGGACAACATTGTTTGATTCTACTTGTATGAGGCACCTAGAACAGTCAAGTTCATAGAGGCAGAAAGTAGAATGGTGGCTGTCAGGGGCTGGAGGACAGAGAAACGGGGAGTTATTCAACAGATACAGATAGAGGTGCAGTTTTGCAAGATGAAAAGTTTCTGGAGATGGATGCAGTGATGGTTGCTCAATGATGTGATTGGACTTAATGTCACTGAATTATACACTTAAAAATGGTTAAAATGGTAGATTTCAAGTTTTTTGTATTTTACTACAAACAAAAAGCAGCAGGACAAACAGGGAAGAGGACGGGACCCAGGCTCAGGGGACGTGGGCCCCACCACCCGCCACCCGCAGGAACTTTCTAAGCGAGCTTGGTTCCCGCATCCGTACAATAAGCATTTGGATTAATTCACTCCTAAGGTCATCCAGCTCTAAAATTCTCTTCGGGGTTCTACATCTATTCCTTGTGTCCCTACCATGTGGATTCAGCAGTGAGCAAAACAGACCAAGTCCCTGCCCTCCTGGAGTTTATGTTCTGACGGGGCAGACAAACACTAAATG